AAAGTTACCCACAGCATATTGCAGATACATCCACTTACCCTTGCTACTTCTGCCTCCTTTTTCCTTAGTAATATTATTATTATAGAGCAACAGCCATGCTTGGAATATTTTACTAAACACCCAATTAACTTTCAGGAGAAGAAGTAGGTGGGAAAGCCCTGAGTCATGAAGTCATCTCTACTCCATCCTTAACCATCTGTGCCATTTGGGAAGTCTTTGGGGAAGGCCTCTGAGCCTCAGTACCTCCAGGAGGGAACCATGAATATGATTACTGATTTCCCATGGCAAGTGAGTGCTTAAAACTTTCATTGGTTTCAAAGTTTGGTGTTAGCAGGATTCCTGGGGGAGCACGAAATAAGCGGTYGGTTTTTGACTCTGGATTATGGCAACCTAATTTAAACCCAATCAGTTCAAACACGATTGACTTTTTCACAACACAAAGACCATTGGCTACCATTATGCATACTTGAAACAAGAAACCAGGTAGCCAAGGCAGAGAGAATTTCGCCTTTCTTTCCGGTTGGTGGCACAGATGCGAAAGTCAGTACTTACTGCATCTCTTTGTGTGACATCTAATGTGTGGCGGGGGCTCTTCTGCTTTTCTCTGGTTCCTATCTCTGGGACTGACTGATCTTCTTCTCCCTGGTCAAGCCACRGGGCTGCCTGAGGCAGTCCTGTCTTGGAGGAGCAGGTCTCATGTTTGCACACCCAGAAACGACAACTCTTGTAAGAATTCTTGCCTTTGGTTGATGCCTTTCTACTCTGACTTCATTGCCCTTGTTTTTTTAAAATCACTATTATTAATAAAATTAGGACTTTTCAAGTCCATATATAATTTGTTCACCCCCCCCMAAAAAATTAAATATTTACTATTATCCTCATTTTCAAATAAGCAAACCATAGCTCAAAGAGACAAAATATTTTCCTAAGACCCCCACTGTCAAAGGTAAGAAGCGATTCCCTAACCCTAGTTATTTGATTCCAGCATCAATGCACCCTTCACTATACCATGGCCTCCACATGTTTAATAGTAAGTTTTAAGTTTATACTTTCCTTAATTATGAGAGTGGATATAATAAACAGTAGAATCATGGTACCTCTTTTAATCTCTCCAGAGGCATTTCYCTTTAATCACCTGCAATGAATGATTGTTTATTACATAATTTAATGGTCCAGATATATACAGGACAAAAATTTACTGAATTACCCTTGGTAATTATAGATGTGGAAAAAAGACCTATCACATTTGCTTACCTTGACCTACTTTAATGAAGTGACAATGTTCATTATTAGCAGTCTTACATCTAAATGTTCCCTATCTCTACACAAGTCTGTCTCAGCCAGAATAAATGCCTAGTTAATCAGAAGTGTTTAGTTTGTTTGAAAAAGCTCTAATAATGCTAGTGCTTAATTTTCTGTAGCTATTATACAACTGTCCTACTTCCCATAATACATTTGAAAATAATGGTATAATTATTTGTAATTTTTTGCATGATTTGGTACTCAGAGGATAATATACCTACAATGCCATCTAGAAGCAGTACTTTGACCTTGATAGGAAAATTGAGAAAGATAGCAAATAGCTATCCTTGCCATTTTCTATTTTGCCCATTCTCAGCTATGGATAGACATCTCCATGAAGGAAACATTGAGTGGTTCCGCAGAGGCTCTCCCACCACTGATGGGACTCAGATCAGAGCCATTTTCCATGGTCTAAAGGAGTAAAAAGGATGTGAAGATAGTCCGTAGGTTGTCCTCAGAACACTAAATCTTTCAATTTCTCCCTTCCTACTCTAAAATATGAAAAATATTATGTAGATGCTAACAAAGGCACCAGACCCTGTCTAAAATATTTTGAGAAGCGTATTACCACCAATGCATTCACCATTGTCAAGTAATTCTGGGTTACACAGGATCCACCACATCCCTAGTTTATATCAAACGGAACAAATCAAGAGTAGGGGCAGATCCTATTTGTCAATGCAATATTCATTGTGCAGTCAAAAGAAAATTGACCTGGCAGGTGTGATGGTACACACCTATAATCCCAGCAACTCAGGAAATCTCCTGAGTTAGAAGCTGAAGCAGAAAGATTGCAAGTTCAAAGCCAGCCTCAACAACTTATTGAGAACCTGTCACAAAAACAAAAACAGCTAAGGATGTAGCTTAGTCCCTCGATTCAATCCCCAGTACTATGAAAAGAGAGAGAGGAAGAGAAAGAAGGAAAAAAAATAAATTTTCCCTGGACATAAATATCTAAGTTCTAATTTCAGCTCTGTAGTGAACTTTTAACCTTGGGTGAGACATTTTCTGTGCCTTAACTGCTGAACAAGAAATATTCATCCTCCCCTCTTCAAAGGCATTGGAAATTTTATAATAGACAATAGAGGTAAGAATAATTCTATTCTATTGACTTTGACCAAATGTGTTTGTTATACCTTTGTTCCCCTCATTACTGTAAGAAATTAGGACTATATTAGAACCAGCAAAGGATGCACAAGTCTTGAACTATTGTTAAGACCCCTTTTAAATGCATACTGTGGTGGTCAAGAACTCTGGTTTACAGGTCACCTGGACCTAGAGTAAATCCTATACCTGCTCACCTTCTGTGTGACCTTGCCAAGTTATCATATATTTCTGAGCTTCAATTCCCTCTTTTGAAAATGGGGTAATATATTCATATGTAAATCCCATCTCACATGATTATTATAAGAATTAAATCCATATGATAATATTTAACAGAAGACCTTGCACATAGTAAGTACTTGATCAATGTTATAAATAATGTCCTTGAATATTTCTTCCATAGGATGAAAATAAAGTCTCCTGTAAATAAACAGTTCTAGATTCAAGTTTGGAAGATACTGGTTTAAGTAAGTTTCTATTTGTAAACTTCTCAGAACCATTCTTGTGCTCATAAATAAGACAACTCTTCAAAATGCAGTGATGATATCATTTTCCCAAAGTATTTGATAATCAGAATCTATTATTTTTACAATAACTGTGAAGTACTGAGTTTAGGGGATTGTGCTTTGGAGAATCTTGTTCTCACAAAGMAGATACTCATAATATTGTGATGATATTGCAGGATGTTATTCTCTTCAAAATAATGGAGAGTGATAGGGAGGGAAGAAAGTAGATAAGTATCAATGTGAAAGAATATAGTTTATGTGTTGGTCACTCTTGAATTTGGGGCAYGGATACATAAGACTTGGTTATATTATTCTCTTTTTTGTACCTTTTTGAAAAATTCTGTAAAAGTTGTTCAAAAGATATTAAACCAGGAAAAAAAATGCATGTATAGATGATGGCATCTCTTACTACATACAACAAGGTTTAAGAAAAATGACTAATCTCATGGGGTTTGCAAGATTCATTCAAGCAAAGGTAAATTATTTGCTGCTTTCATTAAAATGGGGATGAAATTCTTCCCACACCTCAGAATCAAGAGAGGTCACCAGTGGTGACAGCAATCAAGGAGACTCCAGCTGGGACATCCGGAGGCAGTATCATGTCTACCCATAATCTCAGCCTTTTTCCCACAAGGCCTTTTGCATTTAAAAAATGGAATGTAAATTGTATTTGTAATTMAAAAAAAAAGTTCAAAAAGTTCATAACTTTTTCTCTTATGAACCTGTTAGATGTGCTATCGCAGTTAAATCAACTAAAATTTTAATAGGAGTTAAAACAGAACCAGTTTTTAAATAACCAAGAATGGAGTATGTCAAACATTCAAGGGATATAATGCGATAGTGGACCTAAAGCCTGGTGAAAACCTTCATTTGAACTGAAGCTGCTGTGTTGGGAGAGGGCTGAGGATTTTTGTTGCCAGGGAATCCTAAGGAATTTGCAGTTGACCTGGAACCCATTTCCAAAATGCCTAATTTATTATAGAAAAAAAGAATTTTCTCTCCTGCTAACAATGAGATCATTGGGCAACTATCACTTAGGTGCTTTTTAGGCAAATTCTCACTAACTGCTCTTTTACTCTAAATGTCATTATTTTTAACAGACCTCATTATTTTGAATTATGCCCAATTCAAGGTACTTGCATATTTGAGTCATGTATTTTGTGCTTTCAATTCACTTTGTGCATTAACAAAATCCTATTATTGTTCATTTAACCTTTAGAAAGTTCACGGATCGCTAACCTGCCTGTCACCAAGATTTGTGTTCATGCATTAGTCATTTCCCAATTGGACCATTTCACGGTCTCCTGGCAGTCCCTTTCCATTCATCTATTTTGTGTTTACAATCCACTCAAAATTTATAAGGTGCTTCAGTTTCCATCCTCTAACATTCCTATTTCTGCTCTCCCTCTAGCAGGGCATAATGACTTTTTTCTTTACCTAAGAGTTTAAAATGAAGGTAGAAGCTTCTTATTTTATTTCTGTTTGGGAGTTCCAAATAAAGTTAAAAAGAAAGAAAGAAAGATAAAAGCCATTCTATTGAGTCATGAGGATGATGATTTTTCCAATGTCCTCTTTACCAAAAATGAATTCAGGTTTCTCTGGTTTGACTTCATATTCTGCAAAGATTTCTAAAAGGGGGGATGTCCCAAGAGTATTAAGAAGGAATTCAGTGGAAGAATTGCAGTTTCTGCCTACATGAAATCCACATCTGGAGCCTGCAGTGGGCTTGGGCAATGACTTACAYACTAACTGTTAAGAAAGAGAATATTGGGGCATTGAAAACCAATGCTTTCCTCGCTGGAACTATAGCTTTTGCCTGAAAAAAAAAAAAAAATCCTTGAAAAGCTCTCAGATATCTCGGCAAAACCATCAGATGTAAACATGGCTTTCTAAACTGATGACCCTTCCTATCAGGACACCCCTTTGCACTGTTCTACCAGTCATAAAAAAAAAAAAAGCCTGCTTTCACCAATCCATGCCCCTTTCAACTCAGTATGTCATCTGCAACAGAACAAATCAGATTATCGATGTAGAGTGAAGCTGTTACAGATGGAGATAGCCTGATTTTCTTTGGTCAAACATTCTAGACCAGCTTTCACAAGTCCCAGTTCAATAAAGAGTGAGGTCCTTACTCACTAGACTGAGATGTGCATTGCAGGACATGGGAAGCATGGGTCTAACACTCTCTAGTTGGTAATTGGACCACCATTCTGGACTGGAGCAATTCAGCCAAGATGGCTGACTAGGATATTGCTAGGGTGATTATTTTGATATTTCTTGTTAAAAACTTCTCTCCTGACAGGGTAAATAGGTTGGAGGTGGGATGTCAGGAAACTAACATTTGTAAGCTAACTTGTCTGCCTATGTCAGACACAGTGTAAGCTCTTTAGTTGTATCCTTCACAACCAGAAATTTTGTTATTCTGATTGTAGAGAAGAAAAAAAAAATAGGTTGCATGGAGAAGCAACACAGTAGTTTTCAAAACTAAATTCAGAAATAAACATAACAACAGTATAGGGATTGGGATGGACACTGTCATCAACAACAGCCTCTCCCAGAAATCCCCACTTTTCTCACATGCAATTAGATTTTGCTTTTCAGCTGCTTCTTGTCCTGCTTCTCTTTCTGGACATTTTAATGACCACAATCCTAGTTCAGGCGCCTTTCCTATCTCTACCACATCCCTTGTCTCCCAAATCATTTCTTTGCCTTCTACTTCATTTCACTCTCTAGAATGAAATGCATTCTTCAAATAACAACTTGTACAGCTCTCTAGGATCTTCTTCCTACTCCTCTGCACCCCCTCATTTCCTCCTACACACCCTTGAGTGCATCCAACCTAAACTGTTCTCTGTCTTCTGGTCATGCTTCTGCCGGSACCAGACTCTCCACCTCCTCCTACACTTGAAAATCTAACTTTTTCTTCAAGATTCTGTTCCAGAAGTACTTCCTTTTTAAAGCCAAACTTTCTAAGTCCCCTGACTGCTTTTTTTTTTTCCTGGAGAAGAATAAGCTCCCAGAGGACTAAATTCATGTTTCATTCAATATTATCAMCCAGGCACTTACTGGGCTGAGGTCACATAGTGAACCAGAGGCAGAACCCTCTTCTGATGCCTCCCTTTGTCATGTTCTTTTCAATATTCCTGCTGTTCAGGGCTTTGCTAGAATCACAACAGGGACTTGTGCTCTTCTCCTGGGCTGCTGAGAATAACCAAAGCAAACTGTATCTTTGGATGGGTATCCTCCAAATATATAGAAGGAAYCTCTTCTCCCACTTTTGGGTTTTCTACGACAGATGAGCTTGGGATATTGCAAAGTCTGAGGATTCCATTTGGAGGGCTTCATCAACACAAGTGTGGGATGATAAAGACAATCAACAAAATCACATTTTCTCATAGAAAAAAAAAAAGAGAAACGTTATGTTGTTGGTTTATAAACAGATCATCATAAGCTCTCTGGTGGCCAATCCTCCCACAGAACAGACTCCTTAATTGAACTAAATTTCCCTTCTTGCCAGGCTCCACATCAAATTTGGCAAGTCAGTTTCAAAAATATACATATCTTATRTGTCAGGCTCTTCATTGCAAGTTTATATAATTATACATTCCAACCAACTATTCTGTACATAGTTTTGAATTTCTAGAGAAGTAAACTGGGACGCATTTCCAAACTGTCATGTTTCATTTCCAGAATGAACACTAAGGAAGTTAATGAGCAACTATGTGAATTGACCTAGGAGAAAAGGCAGCAAGAGGTACTTTGGGGTAGGAGAAAAATATTCCCTATCTCATGCCAGTAACTTAAATCGGAATGTTTTTAATAAAGAAGAACATTTCCTTTTCCTTTGCTACCCAGACCTCACATCTCATTAATCACCAGCTCTTGTCTATTTTTAYTTTCAAAACACTTTTAAATTCCATTGGTCCCTCCTCCACAGCCCAGGTACCACTCTTCCGACCCTAGTCTGGATTAATTTTTCTCCTGTTTCTTTTTAAATTCATCCTTCGATGCTTCTGGAATTGTGGAGTATATAAGAMTTACCTGGGACATTCATTTAAATGCAGATTGTAGGCATCATTCCACAAACAGWCTGATGTAGGGTGTGGCAAGGGGCCAGATGGTCTGCAATTTAAATGAACATCCCTCGGCAACTCTAATACCTGGGCTCCAAATGCTGCATTTTGATAGGAATAACTRCTACCTTGGCCTCAAAATGTATGGTCTAAAATGGAAATCTAAAAGCAATTTACACATATACTAGATACACTCACATACTTTCCCACAACACATACGAGCAATAGAACCTACTGACCATGATAATGTGATTTTAAAGACATTTATAAACCCTTTCCTTGTCTCCTCCCCAACTTCTCAGAGCCTCAGAGACATTATACTAAAATACACAGTATGCTCTTTCTCACAAAACTCTGATTCTGAAGACCCTCCTAGAATATTTTTCCTAACCAACACTTATCAGGGATTCTCTTTTCCAAGAATACCCCTGAGTCTCATCCTCTTCCCTCCCCCATGTGATTTAGGGTAACCCTCTTAWACTCTTACTACTCCCTCTGCAACTTCTGGAAGTTTTTTTCACCACAACATAGCCTCTTCATATAAGAAGTGTGCCTTATTTTTTGCTTCAGTCTTTATAGGAGCAGTCAATAAATAAAGTCTACTTCAACTTATCCTCACATAACTGGTTCCTTATCCTATAAGCAAAGCTAGGACTTGATGCACCTGGTCTAGACCTCCTCAGTTCTTAACTCCCTATTCTATTTATAAACCAAACAAGGAAACCCAAGTATTGTCAGAGACCTAGACTAGGAATTAAAGCAAGCAAGAAGATGAAAACCTAAATGATGGAATAAATCGCTGTCAACCCATATAGCAGAGCAGTAAGAGGCACAAACTCTGGAGGACAATTGAGCAAGGGGAAACCCAGCTCTTCCATGCATGTGCTGTGTGATTTTGAGCAGATTGAATAAACTCTCTGTGCCTCAATTTCCTAAGAAGGGACAAAGAACATCCCTTCGAATTGTTGAGACACGTTAAACAGTAGAGCAGATTTTGGTAAAGTTTTTCTATGAGGCACCAAAACATGCACAGGTTAGGATTTACAAGAGAGATGGTATGTCACTAAATCACTCAAAAGGACAAGTAGGTATAGACACTATGAGAACAAAGGGRCATGGTTATGTTCCAATAAAATATTGTTTGCAAAAACCAGCAGTGGGCTGGATTTGGCCCAAGGGTTGTAGTATGCTGACCTCTCCATAAGACCAATGTATGGCACCTGTGAAGTTCTAATATTATAATTGTTATTTTTTTGGATAAATTTCCTTCTGGACAAGTAACTTCAACTTTTCATACACACATTAATTATGTTTCCACTATAACAAGAACACATTGTATCTATTCACATACATTAGAATCAATATAAAATGGGCTGTCATCTGAGACTCACTATTTCAGAAAATTTCTCACCACTCTTCATTTATGTTTGTAATCAGAAATAAAACCAGTAGAGTATTTTCTGGGAAAGCACAGCTTCCCCTATAATTTCAACCACTCTGAAGCACAGCACCTAAGTTTGAAAACCCCTGTAAGAGGCTATAATGGGAAATATAACAATAGCAACCTGACTGGTATGAATGATTTTGTTCACTTAAAAATCATTTATATTAAATGATACACTGTTAATTAAACATTGTATTAAATTAAACTCAGACAATACTGAATAAAGCCAAGTCACTACTAGCCTACTAAATATGGAAGAAATCACTCCCTTTCTTCCTTCCAGTATCACAGTCTACTATTATAGTTCTGCTTGCAATGCTAAAAAAGAAAATATCTAACTGGATGTGGTGGTACACACCTGCAATCTCAGTGACTTGGGAGGCTGAGACAGAATAGCTAGTTCAAGCCCAATCTGGGCAAATTAGTGAGTCCCCATTTCAAAAATAAAATGAAAAGGACTGGGGATAGCTTAGTGGGGGAGTGCTTGCCTAGCATGTATGAGTCTCTGGGTTCAACGCCCAGTACCACATACACACAAAGAAAATCCTAATTCTAAGAATTATTTAGATATTCTTGGCATGAATAGTATCAGCATAAATGCTACTACCCAGGAACAGCCTAGAAATGAGACCAATAGCTAGATATTCTSATTATAGTTCATGTTGCAATTCTAAATTCTAGGAACAATGAACGACTTAACCACTTCTGGAATTTTTCTCCAGTTGATAAAAATAAATATTTTTTTAATGAACTTAAAGAAGCCATTGCTGCTTCCTCTTTACATTAATTTTTGCAAGCAAATAKTTTTTGGGCCACATTCATTTAGAAGAAGTGGTTGCTCTCCTCTGCCTGCGTAGTCCTGAGTTTATTGGACCCTCCCAATGCCTGCCTTTAACTTTGGGGCCTGGGTTAGCAACAGCTGCTGCCACCCAGAATGAGACAGGAAACACTGTTGCTCATTAGCTCTCATACACTCACATGCACCTCCATACTCTCATTTCTGCCTTATCTGCTTAACCACTATATCCTCCAGTTGCTTTAACTCTTTGTCATGAGTACCCTTGAACCAGCCACTTCTTACAGAGGAGCCCACCTGGTCTCAGGTTAACCTGACTGCTGATTGCTAGCCCTGTCCTGGCACTACATTCACCAATAGCAGGAAATAGCTCAAAATAAGTGAGTGGGGTCTTCTATCACCTTGGCCCATCTTCCCTTCTTTRGAGAAGTATAAACTTTGGGGAGAGCCCCATTTTACCCCCATCCTTAGTGAAAGTCCTCATCTGTGCCCCACATTCAGGCTCAAATTGCAGGATAAGATTATCCTTTGGATGGATGCCCTGTTGGCAGTAAATGCCTGCAAAACACTATCTTGAGAGTATTTGTACAATTTTCAAGCCTGGTCCTATATTTAGAGAAAGGTGGCAACTTATCCAATCTTTGGGAGTGTTGAGAGTTACTTGCTGCTTTCATGCCATTATTCTTCACTTCCAATCCTTTCACACATTTCACCAGCCTGTACTCACACATGGATTTGCTTCTACATGGATGCAATTTCAAAATGTGTAGGTTCAGATCTAATTCTGGACAGTCTGGATAAATCCCACACATTTGCTGGCAAATCTGGCTCTTTTTTTTTTCCAAATGGATCAGATGCTTTGTTTTTCCTCTAGCAAGTTAGATTCTGTTCATTTTTGTTCATTTGGGTGTGCATGTGGGGCAGGTGGGTGTTGGAAGCGGATGCCACTTGAGAAGCAGAAAATATTTAGAAAAGTATAATTTTAGAGATTAAGAGAAAATATCCTTTCTAAACAAGTTAGGTCTAAGCAAGTCAATCCTTGCTAACATAGCTGAATGTGAAGAGATGCTAAAATACCCAGCAGCTTCATTTTCCCCTGCCCTGCTTTC